AAAAAAAAAAAGAAAAAAAAACTGCATAGTGCCACATACACACAAATAAATGCATGTGTGAATGGTGAAAATTGAATAAGGCTGTGGGCTACTTAACAATTCTGTACCAATGTCAAATTCCTGGTTTTAATATTGCACTACCAGTTATATATGATGTCACCATTGGGGGAAACTGAATAAAGGGACCTCATGCACTATTTTTTGCAACTTCCTCTGAGTTTAAAATTATTTCAAAATAATTTCAAAATTCTTTAAAAATTGAGAAATGTCCAGACCCAGCAAAGACTTTGGCCTTTGTCTGAGTGAGGAAAATAAAGCTTTCTCCATTCCCTCCCCCCTTCCTTGTTCCCCTCCATCTGGGATCCCTATATTTCAGCTCCCCAGACCACAATTTTCCAGTTTGTCTCTAGCTTACAAACAAACCAGAACACACACTAACACACACTCCAGAGTTAACTTCTCCCTCCTTCTCATTTGGCAACAAAGACTTGAAGCATAGGTCCCAGGGTCAGGCTTTCCCTCCTCAAAATACACAGCATGAAGACTTTCTCACCCCACCCACCTCTCCAGCACTGGAATCTTCCTGCCTGCCTCTAAATGCTGGCTGTAGCCAAAGCTTGAACTCTGGGAGTGGCTGTGAAAGAAAGAACATAAATGTGATTGAGGGGAGTCTATGGGGAAATGGCTTGACCGTTCTGGTCTTTGAGGGTCTAAGAAATACTCTTGCATCTTGGGTAGAGGACTGGAAGGTCACTTCCCACAGGGAGCCATTTAGACTATCTTGAGGGCCCCTTTTCTTTGAGCCCTGGCTTCAAGCCAACATTTGGAACTTGGCCACACCACCAACAGCCCCCTCACTTGAAGCCCAGCCAAATTTCCCAGTATGCAAAGCCTTCTCCACTTCCTCCAGGGCCTCTCTCAGTCCTCACCTAACCCCTAACAACTCAGCAACTTCCAGCCCTAGTGCTTTCCCAGTCAATCAGTTTGGAGCTTGCTAATTAAAACTAATTCTAAGCCGGATGCAGTGGAAAACACCTGTAATTCCAGCAGCACCAGAGACTGAGGCAGGAGGCTCGAAAGTTCAAAGCCAGCCTCTGCAACTTAGTGAGGCCCTAAGCAACTCAGTGAGACCCTATGTCTAAATAAATTACAAAAAGGGGTGGCAATGTGGCTCAGTGGTTGAGTGCTCCTGAGTTTAATTCTTGGTACAAAAAAAAACAAAAAACAAAAAACAAAAAAAAACCTAATTCTAAGAGTTATCTCCAAGGAATAGGGAAATTAGTGGAAACATGACCATGGAGTTGCATTCATTCCATCTAAGGGAAAAGAATCTGGGTACGAGATTGTAGGGAGAGGTAGGCAGAAAGGAGACTTCAAGTTTCAAGACTCAGTCTCTGGATATACATGCAACTTGTTTTCATCTCTACCACAGGAAGATGGATTAGAGCTTCACCCACAACAGAAACTGATGTTAGACAGTGAACAACAAGGACCTGGGAAAAGAAAAGATGGAGGATTACCCTGGAGAGATCAGACGGGGTCCAACTCTAGGGCAAAGGAACAGCCAGTGTACCATAGGAGAGGTAGCCAGGGCTAATGACTGCAGAATCTATGCTGTCTCTACCCTAATTGTGAAAATGTTGGGAGGTATGCCAAGAGGGGTGAGGGTAAGAGAAGATGAGCCTGACACTCTCCCTGAGTCAGCCTAATCTTTTCACAGACTTATCCCTGAAACCCCCAACACTAACCCACTTCACCCTGTGTTTCCCTTGTAGCACGTCACCATCTCTGGTACCCCTGCCAACCCATGTCCTTCCCTCCCAAGTCCCCCAACTTGGAATGAAACACCAGGCACCTTCCAACCTGCCTCTATTTTGCTTGCTCACTGCAGTTGGAAGCAGGAGCCAGAGAGGGGGGAGGAGTGGGCCATGCTGCCCTGTGATGCTCTCACTCTTCCCGCTTCTATTGATCAGCCCTTCTCTGGAGAAGAGCCTCTTCCCAAAAGCTCCACCCTTGCCAGGATTCCCTCCAGCTCATGCCCAGCAAGCTAAAGGGGCATGATGACCAGACGGGG